AATGTGAAGACAGGAAAACAACAAATTCTCAGTGGAATGAAAATTTTTTTCCTCTGATCTTCCAGAGACTTTGGAAGTGTTGGTAAGAGGATCTTTGTGGGACTGGAAATCAATTCCACCATCCTGGGTATACTGGGTGATGTGAGAGCTAAATGAAAGAGGGAAAAGACATAGAAAAAGGTAACTTGAGAGAGCAAGAGCTCAAAGCAAAAGAAAAGTAATGCAGAAAAATTTAAAATATCCATCCTAAGGCATGAGAGCTGCTCCCTCTCCACAATGTGCCTTTCATGTTCAGGCAGTGTGACAGAGGAGGAATGAAAACACAAAGGCCCTTCTACTTAAAGGTCTGGCATGCAACAGATTGGAGAGAGCACTTCCTGAAATCATCACACCTCATTAGAGGTTTTCCATCTAACAAGGAAAATTATGGCTAATCCAGGGAGAAAGGGGGAAAAAATGCCACAACCCCACCAGAAACAGCACCACACTAAGTAGGGATTTGGCTTTTAGTCAGGAATCGACAGCAAACCAAAAAAAAAAAATGAATGGGTCCATCAGGTTCCAAAATACCAAATAAATCCCTGCACCAGGTTTGGATCAACACCTCAGTGTTTCATTGTTCTCTGGATTCTGCCCCTCCCCAGAAGAACCACAGGGTGTTAAAATAATTAACCAGCCCTACTTTGCTGTATGTCCTACATTAAAGTAGAGCGTCCCATCTACCAGGTTTATTTTGTGGAACTGTGACATGGTGGCATTTAGGGATAATCAACCCAAAAATGGTTGGGAGCAAGTGCATCTTCGACAGCATCTTCTCTGATCTGCAAAAAGGGGAAGCAAAAAGCCAACAGCCCTTGCTGGGCAGCTGATCTTGGCACAAAGCACTGGAGACTTGGCTACAAATCTCAGTAATGATAAGCAACAGAAAATAAATAACCCAAGGCTAATCTTCCCAGCAGGAACTCCATGGGACAGGAACTCGTATCCCAGATCAGAGTCTGCTGATGGTGTCCCAGTGATGCCCCTATGGAAGTTCATCAGCCATAAATAAGGAGCCACCAACAGTGAAAAAACAACAAACTGGGGAAAACCAAAACCAATTCTTCTAATCCATTAGGGTAACTACAGAAAAAAGGGAAAAGAAACAGAAGCTGACACGATTTTCCTGGTTTGGGATGAGACAGAATTAATTCTGTTCTTACTGGTTCAGTGCTGTGTTTGCCTTTAGGATGAGCCTAATGTTGATACCACAGGGATGCTTCAGTTGTTGCCAAGCACAGCTTGCTCCAAGCAGAGGATTTGCCATTTCCCATGCACAGGTGCATGGAATGGCAGGAGGGAGCAGAGCCAAAGGGATGCTCCACACCAAGGAATGCCATGCCCAGTACATAAACTGGGAGCAGCTGGCATCAGTCAGTGGGTGCTGAGCAACTCTACTGGGCATCACTTGTTTCTCTCAGCTTTAATTCCTTATTACAATTAACATTTGTTTTATTAGTCTTGTATTAATTTTAGATATGTTTTACTTTGCTTCAATAATTAAACTGTTCTTAGCTCCCAAGCTTTGCTTTTGCCCTGATTCTCCTCGGCATCAGAGCAGTGAAGAAGTGAAAAAGTGGCTGTGTGGTGCTTATTTGCTGGCTGGGATAAAACCAATACAAGCCCAAAGTAAAACTTCCTGTTCAGTGAGGTACAACTTCACTTCCATTCTGGTCATCCTGAAGTTCTTGGCATCTCTTTAGCAGAAAAGGAGAAGAAGGTGGTATTTCCTTCCTTCCCTTTGCTCAGAGCAGTCCTCCTCCTCCAGAGCACTGGGAACAGTTTTAGGATTGCTCCAAGGACCTTCTGGTTGCAATTTTTGCTCTTACAACACCCCAGGGGACAGCGTTCCCAGCTGCTGGAATGGATGATGGATCAGGGATGTGGCTCAGGGAGATGCACACACAACAAGGCAACCCAAGAGATCCCTGATCCACTGCCAAGCGGATCATGATGAAAGCAATCACCACAACCACGCTCATTTTTAAGTCTCTTGGCAAAGACTGTTCCTGCAAACACCAGCCTGACCACAGCACCACATCAGAGGCTGTTAATGCTACAAGAACAGATCTGCTGCCCTTCAAAAGGACTGACACCCAGGGGATGATCTTAAGCAGAACATCCCACATCCCTGCCCTGCCCTAGTGCAGCCATTAACTGACTGCTCTAAGAGCACAGGACACTTCTCCACTCTGGCACCACGAGCTGGAACTGCAGGAGTGGGATCTGCCAAGGCTCCCGAGCAGAGCGGATCTCTGCTCCAAGCACGGATCCCAGTGAAGCTCAGGGAAGCCTCTCGTGATCCTGCTCCATACCCAGTACTGAATTCTGCCTTTAGAGGCACAGTCACTGCTACAGATAGCAAAGATGTGAAGATTTACAGAGGCCACAAGAGCCTGTGGCTGTCTCTAGGTCATTATCACACCACACCTTTGGTATTTGGCATTATTGGTCATTATCACACCACACCTTTGGTATTTGGTATTATTGGTCATTATCACACCACAACTTTGGTATTTGGCATTATTGGTCATTATCACACCATACCTTTGGTATTTGGCATTATTGGTCATTATCACACCACACCTTTGGTATTTGGTATTACTGGTCATTATCACAGCACACATTTCGTATTTGGTATTGGTATTTGGAGGAATCTGATGAGGATGAATTTGGGGAACTACCTGGCAACTCTGGAAGAGTTCAACATCCACTGACCTGCCAGCTGAACAGTAAATAGAGACTCTGCCTTCAAGAGCAGGGAAGATGTAAATTGTTTACTACAGATCTGCCACCAAAAAAAAAAAAAAAAATCCTTTCTCTGTGGCTGTAGTGAGAGAACTGCCTGAAGAAACACTGATCCTGCAGGCATCTATTTGTAGGGTGAGCTCTGTTTGGTTTCTAAACCTGTTTCTGGTTCAGAAACCTCATGGCCAAGGGACATTTCTTCTGTGACCTCAAGGGTTATTTATTTTTTTTAATTTAGTTTAACACAGGTGGGGCTCCAAAGGTAATTGAAGATTACAAGTACAATAATAAAGTTAATATGTAGCTACAACTGGCAATTATATTCGTTATGTAAGTTCATATTAATAAGTTTTTTCCTACTTTTCTAACAAAACTGAGTATCTCCACAAATCTCTCTATCAGCAAAACAGTCATTTTTCACTTCAAAACTATTTTGGTAAATCTTGACCTCACTCTTCACTTAACAACAAATGGCAGCAGAGCCAACACCCCAATGCTTAGAGATGAATAGTTACATTTATGAAAACCTATTTTGGAAGACTTGGCTGCATTTCAGTGATGTTCATCTCCCTCTTGACAGTGAATAAAACTGGCCAGGTCAAAAACAGTTCATCTGATTTTACTTGGCTCACCAATTACTGCAAGGAGAAAACAGAAGACAAACCTGTGTTTACCACAGTGTTAACTGGCAACAAGAAACGTTAAATTTCATCGTAATTTTGGAAGCATATCACAGCCAAATACAGAGGTAGACTTAACATGCCTGACCACAAACACACTTCTTTCCAAAACTGCTCCAGGAGAGAAATTTTCTCTCTGTAGCACAATTCTTCTGCCTTTGTTGCCACCACCAGCAGCTCATCAGTGTTAAAAATAAAAATGACAGTTTGTAAAGTGCATTTTAGGATCTGTACATGGTGTTCAGGGCAACATTAGAACCTGACACATAGGAGAAAAAGGCATCTAAGCGCTGCTTGTAAGCCATCAAAACAAAAAGGCAAACTTCCAGAAGACTCCGTGGCTGCCAAACTTCACCTTAACGCCGCCGTTTCCCTGGAGCACACAGCGGCTGAGCAAGCAACGCCAAACCTGCAAGGTTCCACAGAGGTGAACTCCCACACGGGAGCTCATGAAAGGCCTGCGGTGGGGACAAGGGACACAGCCGGAGTGTCAGAGTGCTCCTGTCCTGGCCAGCACGGCGAGCATCTGGCGACACACCAGCAAAGCCCTCTCTGTCAACACTGCCGCTTCATCAAGAGGCGAAGATTAGCAGCGCTCACCAAGCTGCGGGCTCGCTATAGATCACGCTGCTATAAACAGAGGTGCCTAAAGCACCCTAACAAAGCTGTCAGCTCTAAACTTTTAACCTGCCAGAGCAGGGCCAGACACACCGAGAGAGAACAAAACAGCCAGAAGTGCAGCGGCCAGCTGGGCGCTGCGGCTCGGGTTACTGCGAGCGCCGAAAGAGCCTCTCCAAAATGAATAGTCCCCTTTTTGTGCCGGAGCTATGCAGAAATTGAGAGTCCGCACGTGTTGCTTTTACCCGCAGGTAGTAAAACCACCTGTGCTTCAGAGAGGGGGGAGGCAGACCAGGAGCAGAGCAGAACAAAAGGCGCAGTTACTTTTTTTTTTTTTTTTAATGAATACTCGTGCATCAAGTTGTGTGCTTGGAGCTGGTGAAGCGGCTGTGCAGCTAAAATCACCTCAGCATCTGACTCACAGCACTCGGCTGAAGAGTTCATCGATCATCCCCTACCAACAGCAACAATTTGGGCGGAATTTTCCTAAACCACCGTCAGGCTGCGGAAAACCGCTTTCCCCCTCACAATACAAATGAGAAAAAAAAAAAAAGAAAAAAGGCAGAAAGCGCGTCTGGAAGCAGGTTTCGCAGCGAAAGCGGCCGCGCTGCGGTGCCCTACCTGCGGCACACCGGTGCCGCCGGCCCCGCGGCGCTCCCGTTACCCGCCCCGAGCCCCGCTCGCTCCTCACGCCCCGGCCGCGACCCCGCCGCTCCCCGGGCAGCGCGGCCCCCGGCGAGGGCGGGGACCCGCGCCCGCAGGTAACAGAGCCGCCCCGCACAGCCGGCGCCCTGAGGGGCAGCTCTGCGGGCGGGCAGCGCCCCGCGGCCGCTCCGCGCCGCCGGCCCCCGCCTGAGGCGCGGGCGGGAGCGCGCCACGCCGCCGGGCGGCTGCGGGCAGCGCCGGCGGCCGTACCTGGCTGCTGCTCTCGGCCGGCAGGTTCCGCAGCAGGATCTTGCGGCGGTTGCCCAGCTCGCGGCGGGTGCTCGCCAGCCGCCTGGCCACCTCCTCGGCGCTCAGCGGCGGCGGCTCCGCGGGCAGCGCCGCGCCGCGCTCGGCTCCCGCCGCCATCTTGCAGCGCGGCCCGGGCCGCCCCCGCCCGGCCCCGCCCGGGGCGGCCTGAGGAGCCCCGGGCCCGGCCCCTCACGGAGCGCCGCGGGGCGGGAGCGCAGCGGCGGCTTCGCACAGCGGTCCGAGCTCCCTGCCCGGGCTGGGTCATCCCAGCACATGGCGCGGGATTGTGTCCCGACGAGTCTGGAGTGCCCCCGGTGAGGAGACTCCGGAGCCTCTCTGGGCAATCACCCCGCGCAGTGAAGAAATAAGTTCTGCCTCATGCAGAGGGGAACTGCCTGGTACGGGTTCTGCCCCTTTCTGCACCACGGACAGACAGGGACAGCCAGGGACAGACAGGGACACCCAGGGATAGACAGGAACAGACAGGCATGGACAGAGACACCCAGGGACAGACAGAGATACCCAGGGATGGACAGGAACAGACAGGGATGGACAGAGACACCCAGGGACAGCCAGGGACAGACAGGAACAGACAGGGATGGACAGAGACACCCAGGGACAGACAGATACCCAGGGACAGACAGAGACACCCAGGGACAGGCAGAGATACCCAGGGACAGACAGGAACAGACTGGGATGGACAGAGACACCCAGGGACAGACAGGGACAGCCAGGGACAGACAGGGACACCCAGGGATAGACAGGAACAGACAGGGATGGACAGAGACACCCAGGGACAGACAGAGATACCCAGGGACAGACAGAGACACCCAGGGACAGACAGAGACACCCAGGGATAGACAGAGATACCCAGGGATAGACAGGGACACCCAGGGACAGGCAGAGACACCCAGGGACAGACAGGAACAGGCAGGGACAGACAGAGACACCCAGGGACAGACAGATACCCAGGGACAGACAGGAATAGGCAGGGATGGACAGAGACACCCAGGGACAGACAGAGACACCCAGGGACAGACAGAGATACCCAGGGACAGACAGGAATAGGCAGGAACAGCCAGAGAGGGACAGAGACACCCAGGGACAGACGGACAGGGACAGGGACACCCAGGGAGAGCCAGGGACACACAGGGACACACTTAGAGATACCCAGGGCTGAGCGCTCTCACTGGGCTCTCTCCAGGCTGAGCAGCCCCAGCTCCCTCAGCCCCTCCTGGGCACCGAGATGCTCCAGGCCCTTCTCAGCTCCAGGAGCTCCTGGCCCTGCTGTGCTGAGGAGCCACAGCTGGACACAGCACCCAGAGGTGCCCCCAGGGCTGGGTGCACCCCTGAGCTGCTGGATCTGTACCCAGGGAAGATGGGGATTTGGGGAATGACTGCAGCTGGGTGAGGAAGAGGGACGGTGTCCTGGCCTTGTGTTCCTGGGGCAATTCCCCTCACAACAGAGCTCCAGCTGTTCTCCAGAATCACCCCTGACCTGCTGGGAATGCTCCCATCCTCCTGAAGGTTCTCCCTGGGACACTCTGCTGGTTTAGGGACTGCTTGTTGTCCACCAGCACCCTCAGGCCCTTCTCACTTCATCCCCGCAGTAACCCATCTCCAGACAGATTTTTGGGAAGGATTTGAGTGCTCTGGAGAAGAGTTGGGGCTCTGTTGTGAGGAGAATTGCCCCAGGATCCATCCTGATGGAAGCCAAGGCCAGGGCACCGTCCCTCTTCTTCACCCAGCAATCATTCCCCAAATCTCCATCACTGCCACCTTCCCTGGATAGATCCACCAGGAGAGGCTGAAATACAGAACAGCAACAAAATCCAGCTGATCCCACAGAATCAGGTTGGGAAAGTGTAAAGTTAGTTTAGTGGGAAATTCTGAAATACAGAACAGCAACAAAATCCAGCTGATCCCACAGAATCAGGTTGGGAAAGTGTAAAGTTAGTTTAGTGGGAAATTCTGAAATACAGAACAGCAACAAAATAAAGCTGATCCCACAGAATCAGGCTGGGAAAGACCTCTGAGATCACTGAGTCCAACCAAGTGAACCCACAAACTCCACTGGAGATCAGCGGGCACAATGGCCCAGAGTGATCTTGTCCCAGTTTTATTCCTCATCAGGAATGTGGCAAACTAATTAATAAAATCCATGCAAATGGGGAAAACAGCACCTGGCTCCTGTGCTGGGAACACAGGGCTGTGATCTGCCATAAAAAGGAGCCCAGCATCACAACAGAAGGACAATATTTCAAGGAATCATCATAAAATAAATTTTCCCTTCCATGAAGTTTCTGTCCATGAAAACATTTCACTCAACACCCATTTTAAAAAATAAAACACGTTGTTCTTTTGGAAAATCAATTTTTCCTCTAGTATAATTCCTTGCAATGTCATTTACAACACAGTAAATTTAGCTCTTAACGTTGTCATCATTGCTATAAATGAGTGAAGAATAATTTAAATATTTGTAGCCATTTTTAGACACGAGGCCAGCCACAAGGAACAAGCAAAAGAGAATCCAAACCTGAAGCATAAAGAGTCTGAAAAAGGAAATTGGAAGAAGAGTTGGAGTTAAATTTGGTCTATGTGACAATTCTTATCAAGAAAATCTAATTATGATGGATAATCCTTGACAAGGTTCAAGGTGCCATTTTACTTATCAGTTACAGATTAAAAACTCCACCAAAGAAATTATCTTAGAAATTGCTTTAGCCCAAACAAAAACAAGTTAGAAACACAAAGTATCTTGGACTTTCTTTACTTCTAAAATGAGTTTTAAAACTACAGTAATCAGAGGGATTTTTGTTTTATTATTTAAAAATTGACAGCTGACAAGATTCTGTTCAAGGGCTTCATTTTCCCTAATTTTTTCTCAAACAGGTAATGTTCCTCCTTTTGCAATATTTGCATTATTTTTAATAAATAAAATCATTGGAAATGAGAGGTGTGACAGGTTCATAGATGATGGGATGTAAATAATTCTGGGATCATGAAAAAGGGACACTTTTCTCCCGGGAATACTGAAACACAAAATATCTCCTGAAAAATGATCACCAGATCAAGCTATTACAGCAGAAATTATGGATCTGCTCAAACATCGTAAAATGTAGTGATGCTAATGAAGGAATTCAAACAGAGTAATTAATTTTACCATTAATTTTTCAATTGGAAGGTGGACACTGCTTCACCTGTAATCAGTGCTCATTAATTCTATCTACAGCAATTACCTCTTCAAAAATTGCCTTTTTTTGGTCATTTTTGATGGGCTGAAGGTGTGCCTGAATTTAAGTCATTCAAATTTAAAGCGCACTGCTGAAAGAAGTCAGAAACTAATAGTTTGGTATTAATGGCACAAACAAAATTCCTATAGCAAATAGTTCCAGAGAAACTCGAGAAAAGAGGAATAAATTCAGAGAAAATAGAAAGTATCAGAGAAATATACTTTTTTTTTCCTTAGGTTAGGGATAGGTATTTAAAATATTGTATTTTGTAGGTTAAAGTATTCACCTTTTCCCCCCAGTGTTCCTGTCTAGGTGATATCAGCCTCCCAAAAAAAGAGCTGTTCCAGGAGGAAGAGGATGCTGAGCTAAGACATGCAGGTATTTCCTTAAGGAATTTCCTCCTGTTGATTACAGTTTTCTATGAAATATTTATATGACTTTGACTCCTTTTCTGGAGCTTCCAAACCAAACCCTCCACGTTTATGCTTTGAATCAATTTAAAATACTTTCATTGGGTTTCAATACAGCTGCAGAAGCAAAACAAAATTATTAAATGAAATCTATTATTAAAAAATAGAACAGTCCAGTGTAACTTCAGTTGTGCTGCTGCCCTGATGCTGTCACACTGATAAACTACCTTGCAGTAATTTAACTTAGTTCATTAAATTCCCTGCTAATTAAGAGTAAAGTCCCCACCCCAGCAGTTGCATTTGTAGCTCTCCTAAAAAGATAAATTTCCCTGTGTTTCTGCAGCTTTGAAGTCACACCAGCCATATATATTTTATAATTTTTATGGAATTAGTGTGAATTAGAATTGTAATTCCAAACATTCTTTTGGCATTACAGGTGCAGTCAGGCAAAACTATCCAGGCTGGGCTGGTGGAAGGTGGAAGGACTGGAATGAAATGGGATTTAAGGACTCTCCCAACACAGACCAGTCCAGGATTCTGGGATTTTCTGGGATTCTACATCCAAGGGTACAAACAAATTCACATTGTGCACATCGGGTGAAAGGCAAGACTGGGAGCATCTGTTGGGCACAAAACCCACCTGATGTTCCCAGGTATTTGAGCTCTTCAGGTAAGTGATGGATTAATGAAAGAGAAATAAACAATTCACTGTTTCCTGAATCAGCTGCTGCACATTCCCTCAGAATAATGGATTCCCATCACACCTCATGTCAGCCACACAAACAAAGCCATTCCCTTTCGTCCCAGCTCTTCCTGCTGCTCCTTTTGTTTCATTAAGACACTGAGATTTTGGATCCAGAAGTTGCAGATTTCATTTTCAACGCCAATAATTCATGTGGTGATGATCACCCAGATCACCTCACAATACACACTGCATCCAAAATACACCAGAGGTGCCAAAAGGAGTTCCTTTATCCTTTTTTTCCCCTGCAAATTCCAATATTTTCGGCACTCTCAGTCATTCCATGACATGCCCAACCTCTTCCATCCAGGCACAAAAAGTCTCAGCCTGCTGAGCAGTTTCTCCTTGCTTCCACTCTTTAACTCAGTGGCCTGCAAATGAACAGTGAAAAGGTGGGAGAGTTCAGGGCTCTAACTTCCAGAGTGAGTAACTCCTGCAAGGAAATCGTTACTGGGCTCTGCTGTCATGGGCTATTTTGGGACCTGTGGTCTCTGCAGCAGAATTTCAAACCTTTGTTGCCCCGTGCATCATTAGCAGATCTGTGTGGTTGTCTTTAAAGGCAGAAAAAAAAAAAAAAAGTAAATATTAAACACCACAAAGCAGAGCCAAGTTCTTGAATAATAACTGAGAACAAAGGAAAATGAGATCAAACAAATACAATTTTCAATAAATGGCTCAGATATTCACAGGGGAACCTCTGCAATACTTTCTCCTGAATCAATACCCTGATTTAAATCA